TCGTGTGAACTGCTGCATACAAGAGGCTGCCCACCAAGGACTGAAATTGCTGCTGCTCCTCGGCTTCAACCCCTTCATCCTCTGCAGCTTTCACAAGCTTGAATTCTGCTGGCAGGGGAGTTGCAACCTTGCGCTCATTTTCAATTCCGTACTTCTCCCCAAGCTCCTTGATGAACTTCTCCTGGTGCAGCTTCAACCACCTGTGATCCAGATCCCTCTCCACGTGCATCCCGAGGTAGTACTTTACCTCCCCAAGGTTCTTGCACTTGAAGTTCTCCATCAGCTGCTGCTGCACTTTATGAATCTCCTTCATGCTGCTGCTGAAGAGAGGATGTCGTCCACGTAGACCAGAAATAACACCAGCTTCTCCCCCTCCCCCTTGAGAAAGAGGCTCTCATCACAGCTGCTGGTCCTGAATCCCATCTCCTCTAAAACAGCTGCCAACTTCTGGTACCAGCAGCGTGGCGCCTGCTTCAAGCCGTAGATGGACCTTTTCAGCTTGCACATCCTGCCCGTACCATCCTCATACCCAGGTGGCTGCGTCATGAACACCTCCTCCTCTAAAATCCCTTTGAGGAATGCCGTTGATATGTCCATCTGGATAATGAACTTCCCACTAACGGCTGCATCTGCCAACAAGACACGAAGGGTATGGGGTTTGGCAGTGGGAGCAAAGATCTCATTGAAGTCCCGCTTCTCCTTCTGCATAAACCCCTTAGCCACCAACCTACTCTTGTAGATGGTGACCTGTCCCTTGTCATCGGTCTTAATCCTTAGCACCCATTTGCACTGTACGGCTTTCTTCCCCTCAGGCAGCACCACCAGCTCCCATGTCCCATTCTCTAGCAGGCTCTGGTACTCGCTATCCCTAGAAGCTAGCCATTTGTCCCTTTCTGGTCCAGATAATGCCTCCTCCATGCTAGCTGGTTCCTCTGGTGCAGGGGCAAGAAAACAGTACGCAGGCTCATCCTCCTCATCCGGGTCATAGCCATGCGGTAGAATCAGCAATGCCTCCTCGGTCCCAAGCCGCTGCTCAGCTACATCAGCTCCTGCAGTCAGCTTCTTAGTAGCCATAAGGGTACGTCCTGCCCTGGAGATGGGTGTCTCCCATCCCTTCGTAACGACACCCTTCGGCTTCTTAGTTTTCCCCTGCTGCTGCTCTCCTCCCTCGGATCCAGCAGCTCCACTAGTGCTACCGCTAGTCTCCACACCATCATTTTCTCCACCAGCAGGTGCCTCCTGTACCTTCTTTCCATCACCACCCTCTGCAGCTGCCTCCTCTCCCTCCTCCCACACACTAGGAGTCAGGTCCAGCTGCATGGTGATCTGCTTCATTTGCTGGGACACCCTGGCCTCCGGCTGTTTCTCCCAGCTCCCATACATCATGCCCTCAACAAACTTCACATCCCTGCTGTCAAACAACACACCCTTGGAAGGTTCCCACAGCAGCCATCCCTTGCTCTCAGCAGCCAGCCCCAAATGCACACACCAGATTGCACTCGCCCCCAACTTACTGCGGTAGGTCTTGGGGACGTGGGCGACTGCCATGCAACCGAACACCCTCAGCATGTCCACCGGCGGCTTCCTCCCAAGCCACCTCTCCAATGGCACCCACGAGTCATCCCCAACCTTTGTGAGTACCCTGTTCCTAGCGACGGTAGCGTGCCGAACAGCATGGGGCCACATCAAGTTGCCCAGCCCAGATTCTATGAGCAGCGCCCTAGCTGTCTCCAGAATTGTCCGGTTCGCCCGTTCTGCTACACCGTTGGACTGTGGGGTGTAAGCCGTGGTCAGCTCCCTCTGGATGCCCTGCTTCTTGAGCCAGGCGGTCATCTCAGCTCCAAGGAACTCACCACCCCGATCTGTCCTAATCCGCTTCACAACACACTACGCTCGCTTCTCCACTAACGGCAGCCAATCGTCCCGAATCGTGGAGGCGGCGTGATCTTTCTGCTTCAGCGGATACGCCCACATTAGCCTGCTCCAGTCATCCACTATGGTTAGGAAATACCGCTCCCCCTTGTGCCCTTGCACCGGCAGCGGCCCCACCAAGTCCATGTGGACCAGCTCCAACGGCTTTTTGCTCCTGCCAGTCACACTATGGAAGGGGAAACGGGTGAACTTTGAAAGGAGGCAAATTTCACAGTTATCATCGGGTGGTTGTCCGTTCAGCTTCAAGCCCTTAACGGCTCCATCCTTCTCCAGCTGCTTCAGCAAAGGCATTGCCACATGCCCCAAGCGTCGGTGTGCAGTTGCCCAATCCGTCTCCCCAGATTTGGCCGACACTTTCACACCAACCCCTCCAACGGCATTGCACTCCCCCTGGGATGCAGACCCCTCTCCAGCCTGCCCCCCACCGTGCCACGCCAGCGCCGGCAGCTGCCACATATATCTGTACACGTCCTTGCTCTCGTGCAGATCCCAAAGCACCCGATTGCCCAGCTTCCCCTTATAAGTGCGAGCCCCATCTGTGTTGGTGTTCACCCCAGCCTTGCCAAGCTTACGGAGGGAGATAAGGTTGGCCTTCAGATCGGGGACGAGGAGAACGTCGTGCAGCACCACCGGCTTGCCATCCGCTCCCTTAAACGCAGCTCGTCCCGCACCAGCCACCTTCAACATGTGTCCAGAGGCAGAGCACACCTCATTAATCGGTGCAGCGCGTACGTCGTCCAGCAGGTCCTTGCGCGGCGTCATTGTTCAAGCAGCGCCTGTGTCCAACACCCAATAGTCCAAGGGGTGCAGCTCTGCTCCAACCTTAGCAGATGCGTCTCCTTAATCCCCCTTGTCTCCCACATGGAAGAATTGGCCCGCGGTGCGCTCCTTCTTCTTCTCCGCACCGCCGTTGCCCTTCGAGTTGTTGTCGGACGAATCAGCGACCATGTTGGCGCCGTTTTTCTGGTTCCTCCGCACGCCGCCATCCTGGTGACGATTCTGGGGGGTCCATCCATCGGGTTTCTTATAGCACAAAAACCAGGGGTGCCCTTCCTTCTCACAATACCAGCAGCTCCCTTTCATTTTGCCACCAGCACCCGACTTGCCCCCACGTCCAGATTTCGCACCGCGACCCCAACCGGTACCTCCTTGTTGGTCGTTGGAGTCGTCGTCTTTCTTTGCACCGCGTCCAGCACCACCGAAGCCACGTCCTTTGCCACGTCGGCTCCCTTGCATCCCGTAGCCGCTGCTGCCGTCGTCTCCACCCCTCAGTTGGCGGCGACGGAAGTCCCCCTCTAGAATCTTCGTCCGCACCCACTCGAGCGTCCACGAGCTCTGGTTCTGCGGCAGGCTCAATCCGCTCGTGAATTGAAGCCACGATTCCGGCAGCAGCGAGAGCATCTTCAGGCACTTGGTCTGCTCCGGGTAGGTGATTCCCGCGATCGCCAGCTTCGCGTAGAGATCACGCATCTTGTCCTGGATGGGTTGTACCGGCTCTCCCTCGCTTAGGCGCAACGCGGACAGCTCCCTCTCCATCATGAGCGTCGCAGCGACGGAGGTAGGGGCGTGCAGCTCCTTCAACACCGTCCACGCCTTCGGACCGCACTCAACCTCCGGCAGCAGGTGCATGACGTGGTGACGCTGGTTCAGCTCCAAACTCTGCGACATCAAGTAGTAGCCAGCCGAGGCGCGCTCGTCCCAATCTTCCTGAAGGGCGGGGTCACTCGGTCTAGGCTCCTCCCCAATCATTAGTTTCAGCAATCCGATCTGACGGAAATATAGTTGTATTTTCCAGGCCCAATCATCATAGCTCTCACCATTGAACTTTTCGACGGTGAAGTTTTTCAGCACCTCCTTGATCAGCGAGCCCTGGCTTGTTCGCGCTCCCCTTGGCGCAGAAACGCCAGAATCATGGCTGCCGCTACGATCTTGGGCTGAAGATTCACCAGCTACCGCCGAGGTGTTACCCCCCATAGCTACCTATATCGAGGATCACTATAACGCAGCTCTGATACCAGCTTGTTGGTGTAAGGGCCTAATAAACTCAAGCTATTAAGACTTCATCACACTTAAAAACCTCTCCTCGGGGTCACCTCCAAGGGTCCTTGGGTGCCTGGTACAAGACCAGCCCCTATCCTCGGGTCCGAGTTTGTAGAGAGAGGGATCAAGAGGGACTTAGTCAAAACAGCAAGAGTACCTTGAACGTCGCGCAGCGTATCGTGCAGACCGTTGATCGGATTAAGCTGAGAATTTACTATATCGAAGCTCGCTCCAAGAGCTTTAAAATGAACCAAATTGCCTCGCGAACTTGCCCAACTTGGCCACACTTGCAAACCTGGTTTGGCTCCTCCCAACCACTTGGCACCATCTACACTGATGTTGACGAATTTCCCAACCCCCAAAAGTCTATACCTTTTATGGAGTCAACCTCACAACTTCCTATAGTCACCACAACCAAATATCAAAAGCATACGAACTTCCAACGATCGTAACTTTCTTGTTCGTGCTCCGATTGAAGCGATACTTGGTTCGTCGGAAAGCTCTTGAGCAGAGGAGTCACTTCAGATATCTGCTCAAGCCAAATAACATTCACACACACTCAGAAAAACCAAACCACATCAAACACAAATTCTTGCACACGCTCACACCACACATGCAACGCACGAACATGTGATGGGAGGCAGACAGACGTGAATGCAAGTGATAGCAACACATAACAGAGGAGAGACAGGAAACACAACAAGTGTTGAGGCTAAAGAATCAAGAGGAGGAGCTGCGATACACAAGACACACGCGGTCGGGGGACATGAAAGGTGGTACAGACAAGCAGCACATGCACAGTCAGTAAGACGAGCACACACAGGCAGACATGGCCGCACATGCACAGTCCAGAGAAACACAAAAGCACATGCGCATGCACATGCCCATGCAGATGCAGGGACCTGTAGAGGTCGGTGGCGGTGGTGGTGGTGTGCGTCCTGGTGTACGCGGGGTCCATATAGCCCACCGTGCCCATCACCCTCGTCGACCCCATGGCTGTGCTGTCGCCCCCTCGCACGAGCCCAAAGTCAGCCACCTTGGGCTGATGGGAGGGACAGGGGAAGGGGACGAAGGGAGAGGAGGACAGGAGAATGCCACAACGGTCATGTGTTCCACTGGCAGTCATGTGTTGAACTCACCTGCATGGCGCACTCACCTGCATGGCGCACTGACCTGCATGGCGCACTGACCTGCATGTGGGCATCGAGCATGATATTGGCGGGCTTGATGTCGCGATACACGATGCCGAACGAGTGCAGATACTCCACCCCGCGCACCGCCCCCACCAGGATATCCAGCCTCTGTTGCAGGCTCAGCGGTGTGGGCGCGTCTGGGGGAAGGGCCGGACGGAGGGGGGGCACATGAGGAAAGGCAGTATCTGTAAGAGAGGCATTTAGGGACGCATTTAGAAGACAATTCCGAGGCATAGCGGGAAGGCAAGAGAAAAGAGAAGTGCAAGACGAGGGTGCGCAGTGCAGTGCGGGGTCCATCACGCGGGTACACATGCATGAAGCAAGCCAGTCAGTGGAAGAAGCAACACTGATGCTACTGCCCTCAGTGGGACTGCTGTTGTACGCGCTGCACCTGGGCCCATCCAGCGCTCGAGGTCCCCGTTGGCAACGAACTCGTAGAGCAGCACGTTCTCCACGCGCGTGTGCACGTCACCTCCCACTGCCAACCCCAGCAGGCGCACCAAATCGGGGTGGTGCTTCGTGGCCATCTGCGCCACCTGCACAACAGAGGGTTCTAGTGGTCACAGCACTGCACCACAATCTCACTCACTGCACCGTGCTATTTCTGTACCATGTTGTATGCATTAGATTCATTCATTTTATTATCTTCTCATATATTTGATCATCATTCCTTAGTGCCACAACTTGCAAACAAAAAATTCACAATGATATTCATGCAGTTAGTCCCACTCTCTCATCTCTTCACATGCATAAAGACCCTCTCGCTCTGTCACCACTCACCACTACTCAATCACACACACACACCTCTCTCTTGAAGTCACTGGTGATGACTTTAGCGTGCTTCACAGCCCACAGCGTGCCATCGAGGGGCCACACCCCCTTGTACACGTCGCCGAAGCTGCCCGCACCCAGCAGGTTGGCCGTGGCCCAATCGTTGGTGGCGCGGGCGACCGTGTCGAGGGGGAACTGCTGGAATGCCGCGGGGCCATTGGGCGTGCCCGCCACCCGTTCGGGTGCAGCTGCACAGGCGTTCAGGAGGGGGGGTGGAGGACGGGAGAGGGCATGCACATGAGTGAGGGCATGCACATGGGTGAGGGCATGCACATGGGTGAGGGCATGCACATGGGAGAGGGCATGCACATGGGTGAGGGCATGCACATGGGTGCACAGGGGTGAAGGAACGGAGGGCGGGTGGGCGGGCGGGAGGGAGGGATGGTTGGAGAGAGAGGGACTTGTTGTGCCATTCTAATCCACACTTGATTATGACAGCGCAAGAGCGAGCGCATGACAAGAGCGAGCGCATGCCAAGAGCAGCAGACAAGAGCGAGCGCATGACAAGAGCGAGCGCATTACAAGAGCGAGCGCATGACAAGAGCGAGCGCATGACAAGAGCGAGCGCATGACAGGAGCGAGCGCATGCCAAGAGCGAGCGCATGATAAGAGCAAGCGCATGCCAAGAGCGAGCGCATGACAAGAGCGAGCGCATGACAAGAGCGAGCGCATGACAAGAGCGAGCGCATGACATGAGCGAGCGCATGACAAGAGCGAGCGCATGACAAGAGCGAGCGCATGACAAGAGCGACGCATGACAAGATCGAGCGCATGACAAGAGCGAGCGCATGACAAGAGCGAGCGCATGACATGAGCGAGCGCATGACAAGAGCAAGCGCATGACAAGAGCGAGCACATAACATGAGCGAGCGCATGACAAGACCGAGCGCATGCCAAGAGAAGAGAGAAACCTGTGGCTGCCTGGCCGCGGCGGCAGCAAGTGAGGGTCCACCAAGCTATGGCGAGGAGGAGCAGTAGCAGCTGCAGTGCCGCCGACACGATGCCACCGATGGCTGCTGCGGACAGGCCCGCCTGGCTCGCCTGGCCCACCTGGGCGGTTGTTGTGGCGCTGACGTCCGGTGGCAGCGGCGGGGCTGGATGTTACTGTTGGTGTAAGGGCCTAATAAACTCAAGCTATTAAGACTTTATCAAACTTAAAACCTCTCCTCGGGGTCACCTCCAAGGGTCCTTGGGTGCCTGGTACAAGACCAGCCCCTATCCTCGGGTCCGAGTTTGTAGAGAGGGATCAAGAGGGACTTAGTCAAAACAGCAAGAGTACCTTGAACGTCGCGCAGCGTATCGTGCAGACCGTTGATCGGATTAAGCTGAGAATTTCCTATATCGAAGCTCACTCTAAGAGCTTTAAAATAAGCCAAGTTGCCTCGCGAAAAGTTTTGCCATTATGAAGTTATGGCTCGGACAGCGTTAGCCTAGCGTTGGAGTGCTAGCGTACTAGCGTTGACTCGGGTAGCATTCCGCCGTCGCACCGCGTAGAAAGGAAATTCCAGCAAGGAAGGAATTCGCTTGAATCGATTTCACTATATTCAGGTACAAACAGAGAAGGAATATATAGTTCTAGCTAACATGGACCTTGGGAATAAACCAGGGAACAACTAGGGATGATCCCAAATAAGTCCAAGCAACAGAACCAACCTGGCTGGACAAAACAGCAGGTAGTAGGTTGGTAAACAACCTCTGGTTCTGTTTTTCCAACCTGGGAAAACAACAACCAGGTTCAGGTCCTAAAAACAGAACCTGTTTTGTTTTTGCCCAACCAGCCAAATGCTGTTTCCGCTGGTTTCCCCTGGCCCTGTAGCATGCAGATACAGACAAACAACATCCAACCTTCACCTAAATTGTACCCCTATAGTGCCTGCCCTGCTACACTATAGTCAACCAAACAAAACAGTACAATTTCGAGTTGGATAGAACTAAATCTGCGCAATCAAGTAAGCCGAACCGCAAAGCTTCCATCTTGGGTTCCTTTGCGAGCTCGTCCTTTCTGCTTGTACTGTTCATAGCGCGTACAATGTTATGCCGAAGCGCACAATGCGCGAGTACCTGCAAATGCTTCAAGCGAAAATTGCGAAAGCAAACAAACACACGAACATTCCATTCATACCCAAATGCATTCGCACGCGCATACTCGTACAAACAGACGGCAGGATGTCGTGCAATGTGAATTTGCACCCAACACACTCCCCCTCAGCCTGCCGGCTGCATCCCCATCATTCCATACTAGTTCATGCTCATTCCACTCATGCGCACACAACACCAATGAGGCTCATCTGCAAGCCTCTTGGTGAGGAATTCTGCTGGCTGCTGGTGAGTCTTGATGTAGATCGGATTCACCGTCCCCCTGTTCACCTCGTTACGCAACCAGTGCCACTTGATACGCATGTGCTTATTGAGCCCATGAAGCACAGCGTTCCTGGCCATCCCAAGAGCTCCCTTGCTATCACAAAACAGCGGCGTAGCAACCTTTTGCTCCTGGCCAATCTCCTCTAACAGCCTCCTCTGCCAAATCACCTCCTTCACCCCATGGAACATCGCCATGTACTCTGATTCCACAGAAGAGAGCGCTGTCTCCGTCTGCTTCTTTGACCTCCAACTAACAGGTCATCCTCCAACTACACAGATGTATCCTCCCACAGGTGAGGAATCCTCCTTCTCAGAGGCCCACGTAGCATCAGTAAAGCAAGTGAGAAAAAGCTTGCCTTCTCCAAGCCTCTCCCCCTTCTCTTTCAGCACCTCAACCCCTTTCTGCTTCACCTGTGCAGATGCGGAGTATTGAACTCCAATGCTTGGGTGAGAGTTCAGATACTTCACCACACGCTCAGCTGCATCCACCTGCTCCTCTGATGGATTCTGCACCACCTTAGCCAGCTGCCCAACCGAGAAAGAGATGTCGGGCCTCGTGTGAACTGCTGCATACAAGAGGCTGCCCACCAAGGACTGAAATTGCTGCTGCTCCTCGGCTTCAACCCCTTCATCCTCTGCAGCTTTCACAAGCTTGAATTCTGCTGGCAGGGGAGTTGCAACCTTGCGCTCATTCTCAATCCCGTACTTCTCCCCAAGCTGCTTGATGAACTTCTCCTGGTGCAGCTTCAACCACCTGTGATCCAGATCCCTCTCCACGTGCATCCCGAGGTAGTACTTGTTGGGTGCAAATTCACATTGCACGACATCCTGCCGTCTGTTTCTACGAGTATGCGTGTGCGAATGCATTTGCGTGTGAATGGTATGTTCGTGTGTTTGTTTGCTTTCGCAATTTTCGCTTGAAGCATTTGCAGGTACTCGCACAATGTGCGCTTCGGCATAACATTGTACGCGCTATGAACAGTACAAGCAGAAAGGACGAGCTCGCAAAGGAACCCAAGATGGAAGCTTTGTGGTTCGGCTTACTTGATTGCGCAGATTCAGTTCTATCCAACTCGAAATTGTACTGTTTTGTTTGGTTGACTATAGTGTAGCAGGGCAGGCACTATAGGGGTACAATTTAGGTGAAGGTTGGATGTTGTTTGTCTGTATCTGCATGCTACAGGGCCAGGGGAAACCAGCGGAACCAACATTTGGCTGGTTGGGCAAAGACAAAACAGGTTCTGTTTTTAGGACCTGAACCTGGTTGTTGTTTTCCCAGGTTGGAAAAACAGAGCCAGAGGTTGTTCACCAACCTACCACCTGCTATTTTGTCCAGCCAGGTTGGTTCTGTTGCTTGGAATTATTTGGGATCATCCCTGGTTGTTCCCAGGTTGATTCCCAAGGTCCTTGCTAGCTAGAGCTATTTATTCCTTCTCTGTTTGTACCTGAATATAGTGAAATTGATTCAAGCGAATTCCTTCCTTGCTGGAATTTCCTTTCTACGCGGTGCGACGGCGGAATGCTACCCGAGTCAACGCTAGTACGCTAGCACTCCAACGCTAGGCTAACGCTGTCCGACCCATAACTTCGTAATGGCAAAAATTTTCGCGAGGCAACTTGGCATATTTTGAAGCTCTTAGAGTGAGCTTCGATATAGCAAATTCTCAGCTTAATCCGATCAACGGTCTGCACGATACGCTGCGCAACGTTCAAGGTACTCTTGCTGTTTTGACAAAGTCCCTCTTGATCCCTTTCCCTACAAACTCGGACCCGAGGATAGGGGCTGGTCTTGTACCAGGCACCCAAGGACCCTTGGAGGTGACCCCGAGGAGAGGTTTTTAAGTGTGATAAAGTCTTAATAGCTTGAGTTTATTAGGCCCTTACACCAACAAGCTGGTATCAGAGCTGCGTTATAGTGATCCTCGATATAGGTAGCTATGGCGGGGAACACCTCGGCGGTAGCTGGTGAATCTTCAGCCCAAGATCGTAGCGGCAGCCATGATTCTGGAGTTTCTGCGCCAAGGAGAGCGCGAACAAGCCAGGGCTCGCTGATCAAGGAGGTGCTGAAAAACTTCACCGTCGAGAAGTTCAATGGTGAGGGCTATGATGATTGGGCCTGGAAAATGCAACTTTATTTCCGTCAGATCGGATTGCTGAAACCAATGATTGGGGAGGAGCCTAGACCGAGTGACCCCGCCCTTCAGGAAGATTGGGACGAGCGCGCCTCGGCTGGCTACTACTTGATGTCGCAGAGTTTGGAGCTGAACCAGCGTCACCACGTCATGCACCTGCTGCTGGAGGTTGAGTGCGGTCCGAAGGCGTGGACCGTGTTGAAGGAGCTGCACGCCCCGACCTCCGTTGTTGCAACATTGATGTTGGAGAGGGAGCTGTCCGCGTTGCTCCTGAGCGAGGGAGAGCCGGTGCAACCTGTCCTGCACAAATTGCGCGACCTCTACGCGAAGTTGGCGACCGCGGGAATCACCTACCCGGAGCAGACCAAGTGCCTGAAGATGCTCTCGCTGCTGCCGGAATCGTGGCTTCAATTCACGAGCGGATTGAGCCTGCCGCAGAACCAGAGCTCGTGGACACTCGAGTGGGTGCGGACAAAGATTCTAGAGGAGGACTTCCGTCGCCGTCAACTGAGGGGTGGAGACGACGGCAGCAGCGGCTACGAGATGCAAGGGAGCCGACGTGCCAAAGGACGTGGCTTCGGTGGTGCTGGACGCGGTGCAAAGAAAGACGACGACTCCAACGACCAACAAGGAGGTACAGGTTGGGGTCGCGGTGCGAAATCTGGACGTGGGGGCAAGTCGGGTGCTGGTGGCAAAATGAAAGGGAGTTGCTGGTATTCGGAGAAGGAAGGGCACCCCTGGTTTTGTTGGTGTAAGGGCCTAATAAACTCAAGCTATTAAGACTTTATCACACTTAAAACCTCTCCTCGGGGTCACCTCCAAGGGTCCTTGGGTGCCTGGTACAAGACCAGCCCCTATCCTCGGGTCCGAGTTTGTAGAGAGAGGGATCAAGAGGGACTTAGTCAAAACAGCAAGAGTACCTTGAGCGTCGCGCAGCGTATCGTGCAGACCGTCGACCGGATTAAGCTGAGAATTTCCTATATCGAAGCTCACTCTAAGAGCTTTAAAATAAGCCAAGTTGCCTCGCGAAAAGTTCTGCCATTACGAAGTTATGGCTCGGACAGCGTTAGCCTAGCGTTGGAGTGCTAGCGTACTAGCGTTGACTCGGGTAGCATTCCGCCGTCGCACCGCGTAGAAAAGAAATTCCAGCAAGGAAGGAATTCGCTTGAATCAATTTCACTATATCCAGGTACAAACAGAGAAGGAATAAATAGTTCTAGCTAGCAAGGACCTTGGGAATGAACCTGAGAACAACCAGGGATCATCCCAAATAATTCCAAGCAACAGAACCAACCTGGCTGGACAAAACAGCAGGTGGTAGGTTGGTAAACAACCTCTGGTTCTGTTTTTCCAACCTGGGAAAACAACAACCAGGTTCAGGTCCTAAAAACAGAACCTG